GTGTGTCACCAATTTAGATGCTGGAAATAACTTGGAGATGAGCTATGCACGCATGCCATAGCTTGTGAATGAGTTAAGAAGTAACGTGATCTTGCCATAATGGTGAAGAGAAATTTACAGAAACAACTAGAAATCTGCCACCAGGAAAGACAATTGTTTGTGGCCAAACATTCTTAAGAAATAAAACCATAGATGTATATGAGGAAAGTAGCCACACCTGTCCAATTTCCCATTTTTCCTTCAGCCAAATGCTATCATCCTGTTTTTCATTTCTACTGTCTCTGTTCAATAAAAACATAGGGCAAGGGTAAGCACAAGTAGTGAAACTTCACTCTGTTACAGATAGACACTTTATAAATTCATAAGTCAAAATTAACAAAGTAACAAAATATATTATAATATGGTTAAACAGACAGGTTTAATTGATTTTTTATATTCTCCTAAAACTGTGTCTTACCAAGGTGCATAATTTTATAGTAAAGAAAGTAGTACAAATATTAATTGAAACTTGTACAAATAATATTTCTACTAAGAATATTAAAGGAAGTAATACACTAAAAACCTTCACCACATAATCTAAGAATCTGTGTTCAATTATTTCTCATTAATAGGTTATGGTTCTTGCCCAGAGTACATATATAAATTAGAATAATGAAGGAACTTACTCAACAGGTGCCTGGTCCATGGCACTTGTACGAGGTGTCATCCCATTAAGTAACTCCACTGACTGCTTATCAATGTCTCTGTGATGGCCAGACGAAGTAGAGTTCTGAAAATTGCTGTTGCTGGACATGCTCGAGCCTTGGTAACTCCCAAATGATTGCTTTGATGTCTGGCTCCCAACTGCATATGCAAGTTTCAAAAATGTTAAAAAGGCACCCAAGCACAATAATTTCTGCAGATCTCCTAAAGAAGGGATGTAAGCAAATGTTTATAACCATAAGAGGGTGAAAATAACAGGATCTATTTCAAAGAAGATTGTTGAATACTTAATATGCAAGGCAAAGAATGAACTTTTGAACAGGTGCGATGTATTTGTGCTAATGCATATCTCCGTCCAGTGGTCATAGTTTCACTTGATGAATGCCAAATGCACCACCTTCTTTCATGCAAATTAGAAAACTATGACCCCGTTCCTGGTTCCTCATGGTGCACATACACAAGACGGAAACAGCCTCGTGGAACTTGCCAAAAATGATTGTATAACATTCATTTATCAATATGTGCCAAATTATTTAACGGTCAGAAATCAGAAAAGATGGACAGCATCTGGAGACAGGATAGACTCAAACAGTTAAAAGTAATCTGATTTCAGACCGTTAGTTGATTTTTATTGTTCATCTGGGGCAACATATCGTATGAAATCATTCTTGATGGTGTAGTCATGCAGATATGCAACCAATTTAGGTTTGAGCTCAATGTTGACATGAAAGAATATCCAAAGAGTAACATAAAACAAAATTTGACATTGTACATCAAAAGGGGAAATGCAAATATTTTCTTTGCATTTTCATTCAACAGGCCTTTCATCTTGGTCATTTCGCTGTACCCATTTGCGTGTGGTGAACAAATAAAAACATTCATGACAGTTAACACAATTTGAGGAGAACAAAGAAGTAAAATTTCTAGGCCCAGTGCATATTAGACCATAATTTCAATTGCTCTATTCATTAATTCTTGTACATAGTTTGATCATGAAGCTAGTTTGAACTTAGACCCAAAAACTAGAACTACGGTTTCAAAGATCAACTAAGACATATACCTGGAACTCCAAATCTCATTCCAGTACTGCCAAAAGTAGGGGCACCAAACGATGGAGTAGACTGTGTAGGCTGACCAAAAATGGTATTCGTTGGAACTCCTGGCGCGGCAGTTCTGCATAAGATGCATTAGTTCAGATTATAAACACAAGAACACAATAAACATGATCACTCATATTGATGCAAAGAAAATGATCAGTCATATTCATAACAATTTATGGTAACCGAGTATTCTTCAAAGCGCCGACTACTAACAGAGTAACCGAATCAACGGTTTATTCAAGACCATAATCAGAGTATTACCTTGGCCCAGATCCAAAATTTGTTGCTGCTCCAAGTTGATTGAAACTACTAAACACAGGTGGTCCATTAGTTTGAGAACTCCCAAAGGTTGAGTTATTTTTCACTTCTGGGAAGGAGCTTGCAGTAGGAAAGCTTGGTGTTGCACGTGCCTTGTTCAGCAAATTAGTGAACTCCGTCAACTTTGCATTTTGCAGATTTCTTTCTCCTTCAACCTGAAGAAAGAAAAATTAAGGAATGATAGTTTGTTCTTAAGAAATTTCGGAAACAATTAACCAACTTTACAGTGACCAGTCTACAAAGGTTGATCTGTTTTTCTTTGTTGTTAAACCCACACTTAGAAGTCTCTATGTTGGAGCATTTTCACGGGCATAGACCATGTCTACAAGGAAAGTTTCCACATATCTCTATGACTCTACCAATGATGATAAAGCAGGAATGCAGGAACACAAGGTACATATAGTAACCACTTGCTAATGTAACATAAAATTCCATAAAAAAATTGTGTTACAACTTACATAGCATTGCGCTAGTACATATGAGATCAAAACAATGTAGTTGCAGTAATGTTTGACTAAATACTTCAAGTGCCAAAAAAATACCATGAAAAAGAAAGGGTGGTACTGCCAGTAAGCTTACTATTGACTGCATAGGCTTCCCTTGTTTGCCCTCTTCGTATGCTTTAGCTCTCAGCTCCTCATAGCTAATATCCCCCGTAATGTCACAAGGACCACTGTGTGCCAACAAAACCAAATATTATGCGCATAAACATCTACATAGCCTAGGGCAGCTGTTGAAGCGGCATTTAGCATAAGGTGTGATTTACCTTCTGAGATGAGCATAACAAGTAAGCTTCCACAGGGGAGCCTCATTCTTGAAATCATCAGATATCTGTTGCCTGCAGGACTCGGGGTCTGTACAGGATCTGAGAGAAGAACTTGCGATGTTAGTGACTCGCCCATAACCAAGTCAAGTAAGATCATAAGTATCATAGCATCATGGCATTGAGACTCACGTGTGGGCCGCCTGTGGTGCTGGCTGCGCCTCTGCTTGCTTTGTCGGCGGCGCCGAGGGATCCCTCACCCACTTATTTTGAAAAGGCTGACACAACAATTCACCAGTCACACAGAGCTATCCATATGAATGATATAATTGTGCAATTGATGAAATATCATACAGAGGAAGATGTCTTCCCCATTAAGGTGGAGGCAGACGAACCTTGGCTGGGCCAGGCTCGTTCCGCTGCTGGGCGGCGCCGCCTTGCACGCCGAACCCAAACGGATTGGGCTTCTGCTGTTGCTGCTGAAACTGTTGGGACTGCGCACCGAACGGCTGCTGCGGCTGCTGCCTGCTCCCGGCACCGAACCCGAAGGGGTTGGGCTTCGCCTGCTGCTGCTGCTGCTGCTGCTGCTGTTGGTTTGAGTTGGCGTGCACGAACCTGCACTGCGCCCCGTACTTGCAGCTGCACGCAGCATCCAGAACCAGCATTACATACAAATCCACGGCGTGCGCGCGTGGCGGGGTCAGGGCAAGGGCAACCAATCGGAATCGGTGGCCGCGGCGGAATTAGAGCGGGGACGGATCAGGGTACCTGCCGCGCTG